GTTTCCTTATATAAAATAAGGCATCTGAATTAGGTGATTTCCAAGGTCCCTTCCGGGTTTTACATGTTCTGATAGAAAAACACCAGGTTTGAACTTTTACTAAGGTGTGGTATTTACTTACCCATCATTTAAGTTTTTTTCAAAGTTAGCCAACTTCAAAATTCTTTCCTAAAGGGAAATTTAATTCTGTTTTTAAGCAATATTTTACAAACTCTAGTTGTTTATAAATAATTAGCTTTAGGTTCTCTCTGCAGTTTCCCAGAGTGACCCTCAAATTTATGTGAATATCTACTCTGTAGCATAATGATGATGACGATAAGCATTTTTACAGTGCTTCACAATCATCTCATTTAATCCTCACAATAATACTAAAGTAGATGCTATTATTATCCCCATTTTACAGATGAGGAAACTGAGGCAGATAGAGGGTAAGTGACTTGCCCAGAGTCACATAGCTAATAAGTGTCTGGGTCTGGTTTGAACTTCTGTGTTCCTGACTAATAAATTCAAAAAAAGGATTTATTTTAACACATACATTTTTATAATCTTCAGGAATTATAAGGCACTATAAGGTAAAGGAAACAGAAAAACTCTTTTCCACCTCACAAAATATACTATAATTATTTTCTTACTCAAGAAAACAGAGTAAGGGGGCAGCTAGGTGGCGCAGTGGACAGAGCACCGGCCCTGAAGTCAGGAGGACCTGAGTTCAAATCCGACCTCAGACCAAACACTGGATACGTATTAGCTGTGTGACCCTGGACAAGTCACTTAACCCAACTGCTTCAAAAAAAAAAAGAAAGAAAGAAAAGAAAACAGAGTAAGAAAGATTGTTTCAATGTTAAATTAAAAATCCACACAACCCTGGGCCCCTTTAAGGTCTCTTTCAGTTTCACAACTCCATGACTCTACGTACCCCTCAAAACTCCTATACTATACTAACAAAACATATTATAATCATATTAATAATCACTTAGGGGTGAACAAGAATCAATTATAAAACATCCACTTAGATGAATGCTATCTCATTCATGACAGCAGTTGCTCCCCTCCCCCCTACCCCCATCAACGCAGCCTACAATCCATTCACACCTTAGCAACCCCTATTAAATATCTAACACATGCTGGAGGCTTTCCTCTGATTCTTTTCCTATATCCTGGATATTAGCAGTCACACTGTCCCTCTCTCACTGCATGCCTGACCCATCTATTTTTCTAGTCAAACATGTCCTTGGCAATGTCCTTTACCCCACTTGTCAAACTGAAGTCATTATTAATGGAGCCTCCTACCATCCACCAAAGTCCTTTTCATTACCCTGAAATTTTGATTCTCCTAACATCCTGATATTCCATGTTACCAGGTGATAAATCATCACTGGAAAATGAGTATCCAAATCAGGTAAGGCATCAAGCAAAAAAAAAAAAAGTTCACCAATGTCACTGTAAGATGTCCTACACAAAATTCAAATCTATTCCTTGTGGATGATGAAGTCTCCACATGATCAATTTCCAGATGTCATCATATTGACAGCACTGAGCCCTGGACCACTATGGCGCTTCCTCATAAGAATTCAATTGTTCAAAAAAGATCCATACAGAAAGAACCAAGCCAATGAATGCATACACCCAGATTATAAAACACAGTTGGATCAGCAACCACACACACAGCAAAACACAGTTAGTTTCACCAACACAAATATCTCAAACTTGAACAAGCATCGAAGGTAAACAATGAGTTAAAGCTAATTGAAAAGGAGGGGAATGTGCCAAATTGCATTCAGGAAATTATGCTATACTTTCAATGCTTTCAAGCAACTTCCTGCTACCAACTTTAAAACACAAATATTCTTCCAATCCTGCTATATTCCTGAAAATCACTGAACGCTAGGATCTCAAATCAACCTTACCTTTCTTTCTAAAAATGTCAAAATAATGTTGGTTACCGTGAAGGGAAAGAAAAGTTGTTGTTATCTGACATGTGTCCACGTGAGATGGCAGCTTAGTTACCTCCCTTCAGACTTTTCCAAATATTTGTGAAAAGGCAATCAAAGGTTGTTCTGAAGTCCCTCTCCTCTGATAATTTCCCAGATATGCTTTTCAAAAAGTCATAGTTAGGGTTCATAAAAGTACAATGAACTAGAATAAAGTGTCCTTGAACAACAGGACAAAAACTTTATAAAAAATTTTATTGTTTGTCTAATTTAGCTCTGCTGTTTGGAGCATGATGTTGAAGAGGCCAAAGTTGTGAGTTCAATCTGTGGTCAGAGAACTCAAGGTAATTTTACATTGAAGAAAACTCTTCTGGCCACAGAATGTAGCCCTGATCTTTTCACAAATACAAGCTGGAGCATTACTGAGAACACGACTCAAAGCACAAGTCCTATTGATGAAGGATTAGTAATATCAACTTCCTAACCACAGGGCAGCAGATAAACCTATGCCTCTCTCTCCATCAAAATCATACAATTTTTATAACTGGACAGAAATTTTATAGGATCATGTAGCCCAAACCCTTGGCTCTGCAAAGTGACGAGGTGACTTACCGTAACTATTCAATAAGCTTAAAACTTCACTTAATTGTGAAACAAGAGCCAGCAGAAGCAGTTGTCTGTAGCACCTTAGAAGTCACATACTAATTTGGAATCTTAAGAACGTTTCAATTACCAAACCATGCCTTGGGACTATACCGATAAGTCACCATGCTGAACAAGATTTAGCCTTTACCTGGTTTCTCACCCAAAGTTCCCCTTTTTCTTTTTCTATGTACAATACTATGGGAAATGTTTCCAAAATATACTTTCAACAGAGTCTCTGGGCACTAGAACTTTTTGCTGATGAGATGACAAATATGACCTCAAGTACAAACAGAAGTTTCTCAACAGTAAATAAATGAAAAAAATCATCCCTTCCCCCAGTCCCAACTCAGTGTGGTTAAAACACTGTTTAACACTGTCTGGTATTTAGGAATCAGGTATGCTGAATACAAGATAAGGTTTTTATACTTGGATATTTTCTTACAGTGATTAAGCCAGATTCTCTTTTATTTACTCAGCCACGGGCTAAACACTTCAGGGTTAAACTTGGGGTAAAGATCCACTGGGTATTAATTACATAGAAAAAAATGCCCTTGGATTCAAGACTTATGCTTTCCCTGGTTCTATTCCAGATAGAAGATTGGTGTTGGAAGAGGAGGTTTCAAGGTGAAGGGGGAGAAAAGAAGAAAAAGGTAAAGAGGTAGGATTTGAAGATCTCAATTCTACCTAATCCTGGCTATACTACCCACTAGCTGTCAGATACTAAGGCAAGTCACTTCTTTGCGCTTCAGTGTCCTTACCTGGAAAATGGGTATATATGCTACCCTACCCTACACACACACACACACACACACACACACACACACACACACACACACACACA